CACAATAAAGATTTCAACTTGTTGGTTTTCTATACCATTTACATCACATGGTTAAACCAGTATTAATGTGATGTAAATGGTTCACATCACTAAATGGTTTAACATCACTAATGTGATGTAAACAGTTCACTAGCCCCAGATAAACCAGTCTGGTTTTATTTGGGGCTAGTGAACTGTTTCAGTCACGGTATTGTAACTTATTCTGCATTTACATATCATATACCATCACTCGTGTCCGTAAAATGAGCAACAGGAACGTGAGGAAATACTTTTGTCACTCCCAAAAATACTGGATCGAATAAAAAAAATGGCGGTAGTAGCCTAGTCTGTGTATCGTTTGAAAAGTAAATATGACTGAACTATGGAGACCAGTCATCAGTAGATTACTCGTAGTTAAGATACCAGGCCGGGAGCAATGGCTTGACTCCTTCATAAACAAATAGTTTATGCTGAAAATACTATTTCTTCAAGGTTGATGAACTGATTGTATTATTATCTCACTACTACACCTGCTGCCTCTGTATTTGACTGAAGACTACTGTGTAGGCGAAACGTTTCAACAAGAGATACCCAACTACTGCACATGTCTTACTCAAGAAACAGGAGAGTACACATGTGGGAGGATTGTGAGAAAAAGCGAGTTCGTCTCAACCTAGAAGGTTAACCAGGTTGATTGTCAGGGCTTGTTACTGAACCTGGCTAGCTGGTCACTTACCCCTCTGTCTCTTAGTCTCTCACCTTGCCGGGCCTGCTGCCCACTGCCCTCCCTACCCTTCTTCTCTCCTTCCCTCATCCTATGACTATCTTCTCTCATTTATACACACACACACACACACACACACACACACACACACACACACACACACACACACACACACACACACACACACACACACACACCACACACACACACGCACACACACACACGCACGCACACACACATACACATACATGAAACAGGCCTAGTGTCTAATGGACATGTGCCTAGGACAAAATGGTAACTAACTAACACACACACTTAATGAAGGAACAACACAGTTGGCTAGTAACACAAGCCTGTTCTGCAGACTTTTTCAGTCGAATACAGATGTAGCAAATACTGTAGACAGCAGAAGTAGTGGAGAGGAGGTCATTCCCTCAGACTCTTCAACTTCTTGATCGAAGTTGAAGAATAAGAATGGGGACTTTTATCCCGGGTAAAGAATATAGGTGATGAATTTAGATATGGATCAGTAAGCCTGATGCAGTGTTCCTCAATTCAAATATTCTTACTTATACTAGTGGGCCCCGCCTTATATGATACTATCTCCAAATTCATAAACTTGTTTCTTGCCACAGTAAAAAACACCATCCTCATGCTACCGCTTCACTCTGAACACCTTGAGGCTGATGGACTGACAACCTCATAAATACTTCAGGACTAACGAAGTGATCACGTCATCTTTATCTATCCACTGTTTCTGCTGTCTTCAGTATTTATCTCTATTCGATTAAAAAAGCCTGCCGAGCAGGCGAAAAGTTTCGAGAAGAAAGATACCCAACAGTTGCACGTCTTACACATCCACTTGTCGGTAATGTATACCTGCCTAGATAATGTCTACCCTAGGTAATATATAACCTGCTTAGCACGGGCCTACTGTCCCATGCTAGGCAGGTTCAACTCCACCCACCCACACCAACTCATTCATCCGTCCAAACTATATTTAAAGTTACCCAAAGTTCTCACCTCAATGAATCTACCTGGGAGTTTGTTCCATTCATCCACAACTCTTACCAAATCGGTGCTTTCCCAGAAATTAATCAAGAATGATGCTCGCGAATCAGAAATGTACGAAGAATGGTATTTCCGAAATGGAAATGGATCAGCAATGATCTTAAGGACAGGAAGTGGATCAGTCATGGGTGTGTGGGTGTAGTATGGGTGTGCAGTGCATTTAAGAAAGGGTGGGTGAGTGTAGTGCATTGTAGGTGGGTGTAATGTCTTTTGGGAGTGGGTGTAGTGTGTGGGTAGAGCATTGTAGGTATGTGGGTGTAGTGTGGGTGTGTGTAATGCATAGTGGGTGTAATGTGGGTGGGTGTAGTGCACAGTGGGTGTAATGTTGGCTTGCATAGTGGGGGTGTGGACAGGTTAGCATGCAGCGCTGGTCTTAGGATGGGGTGTTTGGACCGGTAATGGTCATCTGGGCGCAGTATTGACTCATGGTGTGGATGGAAGAAGAGACGGGCTAGCATAGAAGGATGAAGCTTTGTTTATTTAGCAAAACTGGATACATCAGCAGTGCACTGCTACCCTATTCTACAATATATGATAGTTACACAGTTTGAACAGAAATCTGTTTCCCTGTTATATTCCATCACAAAGGACGGGGCTCATAGTGTTAAAATGAGTCAATCTCAGCTGGGAGACTTCAAAAGTTAGTTAGTTTAATAACTATTTTATGCACCCCATACCTATCCTGCGGGCGATAGTCAAAGGATTACAGATGTACATAATGGGTCCAGGGACTGGGCCCCAAAGTTATGATAGTTGAACTAGTTACAAAGGTAATGAACTCCAGGTAGGACTTCAATCGAAAAATGAGGATATAGTCAATAATTATTATAATCATGGGAGGGCGGTAAACCCGTAGGATTATACAGCGCATGTGGGGGGGGGGAATGGAAGGTATTCAGACTCGATTCAGGGAACTGGAGCACAGATCCAATTCCCTAGATCAAGAGCCTCTCACTAGCATCAAGGAACCTCCCTTGAGGGGAGGATATAGTCAAGTATTTCATTACAGTTTCAATAACAAGAGCAGCTTCTATAGGTTTACTTCTGGCACAGATGGAGTTACTATCACTTAAGAATTGCCATCTCTGAGGATGGCTTTGTAAATCCACTGGACGGAGTTCATAGCACTGGAAAAAGTGTTAAGCCAGGAGGATCATTAAGGTTGCATGTCACCTGTTCACCACCCTCAAAGAATACTTTAATCCCTAAAATAGGGATTATAATCAACTCTCACAGTATGTACACAGTGATGTACACCTCTCACTGTACATACTCTGCGTAGTTACAATTACTTTACACTGATGAGTCGTGAATTACTGCTAGCTAATAGAATGGACGTAAACTAAGATAAGTAATGAGTCGGTGTTTTGAAGTCTAGAAAACTTAGGCCACAGTCAATGGGCTTAATTAGATTATTTTTTTTAACTTAAGGAATTTGCTATTTTTTTATTAAACATTGTAAGCGCAGGAAAGAATATAATTAAAGTTTTTTTCTATGTTAAGCATCTTGTGTGACCTTGTAAAATATAATGTGAATGACAGAGCAGCACAATGCAGTAGAATCTAATTTTGGTAATAAAATTATATTACAAGCCTAGTTCAAAAATAAAAATGGAGCACTATTATCCCGAGGATACTTTAAATCCATATTTTAGATCTTAAAGAAACCTTGGCTGATGGTTTAAAGGTTACATGCAGTTTTAGGGATCCTCGAGTAGTAGGTAGGATTTAAACCTATTAATCAAATTTGTCCAAATATACTACGCGTTTTCGATTTGTATTTATGCATTAATGGAATATTTTGCCAAAATTTGTCATTCCAAAGGGGTACATAACATAGTAGGCAAGTGCCTCGTGACACTGGTTTTAGTAAGTTGATCCAACTCAGGTTTAGCATCCACTGGTATACCTGGTTTTAGTAAGTTGATCCAGCTCAGGTTTAGCATCCACTGGTATACTTAGTTCAATTCTGAGCTAGCAAAGCTCCTAGCTTATGATTGCAGCAGGACATGACAAAAGCTCTGTCTGTCCCCTTATTCATACTCCTGGTTTATGCCACACTATTTGTTTTGCCTCTTGACAGTAATTTCAATAAAGTTTTGAGTGACCAAATTTAAAAAAAATAAAAAAAAAATAAAAAAAAAATAAAAAAAAGGAGGCCTGGTCTCAGACCGGGCCGCGGGGGCGTTGACCCCCGGAACTCTCTCCAGGTAAACTCCAGGTAATACCTGGTTTTAGTAAGTTGATCCAACTTAGGTTTAGCATCCACTGGTATACCTGGTTTTAGTAAGTTGATCCAACTCAGGTTTAGCATCCACTGGTATACCTGGTTTTAGTAAGTTGATCCAACTCAGGTTTAGCATCCACTGGTATACCTGGTTTTAGTAAGTTGATCCAACTTAGGTTTAGCATCCACTGGTATACCTGGTTTTAGTAAGTTGATCCAACTCAGGTTTAGCATCCACTGGTATACCTGGTTTTAGTAAGTTGATCCAACTCAGGTTTAGCATCCACTGGTATACCTGGTTTTAGTAAGTTGATCCAACTCAGGTTTAGCATCCACTGGTATACCTGGTTTTAGTAAGTTGATCCAACTCAGATTTAGCATCCACTGGTATACCTGGTTTTAGTAAGTTGATCCAACTCAGGTTTAGCATCCACTGGTATACCTGGTTTTAGTAAGTTGATCCAACTCAGGTTTAGCATCCACTGGTATACCTGGTTTTAGTAAGTTGACCCATCTCAGGTCAAGCATCCACTGGTATACCCGAGCTTGGGTTTTCACACACCATTAATTAACAAAACAAAAGGATCACTACATGATACGGTATCCTAAAATATGACACACACAGGATGAAAGGATACAAGTACGTATATTGGAGACAAACATCATTTGCAGTAACCACGATCGCAAGATTTGGACGTCTTTCAACCATATTGATGGTATCAGGATACGTTTTTCACATCCTCTTTATTTATTCCTGTTTTCTATTTGCCCAATTTATTCATATCTCTCCTAATTTTACGTCTTTCCAGAGCGAAAATTCAGAAATGCTCTCAGCCTATCTTCCTATGAAAGATTTCTGATACACGAAATCAAATTTGTAATCTATCTTCTACCTTCACATCGATGCTATCAATGACCTTATTACCTTCACATTGATGAGATTAATACACCTTCTACCCTTATATTGTGGGGATCAATGCACCTTCTGTCTTCACTCACCTGGTCGAGTTGTCTTAAGTGTAGAGACCTGGTCACCACCACCTACTATAACTCACTGATGGTAAAGTCCTCTCACAGTCTTGTTATTTCTTAGTCCCCACCCATGTTTCCCCCCCCCTCCTATCCCATTACTACCTCCTCCCACACTACCACAATTGTCTGCAACCACCAGCACCTCCACACCCACTACCTCCATCCCCCCCCTCCTCTCTTCCACAACAGCGTAAGTCAACATTGACCAAATGACCCACCCTTCTCCACCTCCCTCAAAGAATACCCCAGCTGAAACTCTAATCTGCTCACACCCACATTTATCCACACCCACTTATTCACACCCACTTATCCACAGCCACACTTATCCACACCCTTATCCACGCCCACACTTATCCACACCCACACTTATCCACACCCACTTATGCACACCCACACCCACTTATCCACACCCACACTTATCCACACCCACACTTATCCACACCCACTTATCCACACCCACACTTATCCACACCCACACTTACCCACACCCACTTATCCACACCCACTTATCCACACCCACACTTATCCACACCCACACTTATCCACACCCACTTATCCACACCCACACTTATCCACACCCACACTTACCCACACCCACTTATCCACACCCACTTATCCACACCCACACTTATCCACACCCACACTTATCCACACCCACTTATTCACACCCACACTTATCCACACCCACACTTATCCGCACCCACTGATTCACACCCACACTTATCCACACCCACACTTACCCACACCCACTTATCCACACCCACTTATCCATACCCACACTTATCCGCACCCACTGATTCACACCCACACTTATCCACACCCACTTATCCACACCCACTTATCCACACCCACTTATCCACACCCACACTTATCCACACCCACACTTATCCACACCCACTTATTCACACCCACACTTATCCACACCCACACTTATCCGCACCCACTGATTCACACCCACACTTATCCACACCCACACTTACCCACACCCACTTATCCACACCCACTTATCCATACCCACACTAATCCGCACCCACTGATTCACACCCACACTTATCCACACCCACACTTACCCACACCCACTTATCCACACCCACTTATCCATACCCACACTTATCCGCACCCACTGATTCACACCCACACTTATCCACACCCACTTATCCACACCCACTTATCCATACCCACACTTATCCGCACCCACTGATTCACACCCACACTTATCCACACCCACTTATCCACACCCACGCTTATCCACACCCACACTTATCCACACCCACACTGCCCCACGCCCACAACAACTGCCTAGGTAACACCTCCAGGGTGACCCTAAGGTCGGTCCAGTGATTACACAGCAGATAATGTGTTATCATCGTAGGAAGATGGAACAATATTTGGCAAGATATCTCTGTAAGGTATTATTAGTGTATACTGGAGCTAGATGTTTGTGTTGGAGAGTGTTTGGTGTGTTGAAGTGTTTGTGTTGGAGAGTGTGTTTGGTGTGTTGAAGTGTTTGTGTTGGAGTGTGTTTGGTGTGTTGAAGTGTTTGTGTTGGAGAGTGTGTTTGGTGTGTTGAAGTGTTTGTGTTGGAGAGTGTTTGGTGTGTAGAAGTGTTTGTGTTGGAGAGTGTGTTTGGTGTGTTGAAGTGTTTGTGTTGGGGAGTGTGTTTGGTGTGTTGAAGTGTTTGTGTTGGAGAGTGTGTTTGGTGTGTTGAAGTGTTTGTGTTGGAGTGTGTTTGGTGTGTTGAAGTGTTTGTGTTGGAGAGTGTGTTTGGTGTGTTGAAGTGTTTGTGTTGGAGTGTGTTTGGTGTGTTGAAGTGTTTGTGTTGGAGAGTGTGTTTGGTGTGTTGAAGTGTTTGTGTTGGAGAGTGTGTTTGGTGTGTTGAAGTGTTTGTGTTGGAGTGTGTTTGGTGTGTTGAAGTGTTTGTGTTGGAGAGTGTGTTTGGTGTGTTGAAGTGTTTGTGTTGGAGTGTGTTTGGTGTGTTGAAGTGTTTGTGTTGGAGAGTGTGTTTGGTGTGTTGAAGTGTTTGTGTTGGAGAGTGTGTTTGGTGTGTTGAAGTGTTTGTGTTGGAGAGTGTGTTTGGTGTGTTAAAGTGTTTGTGTTGGAGAGTGTGTTTGGTGTGTTGAAGTGTTTGTGTTGGAGAGTGTGTTTGTGTGTTGAAGTGTTTGTGTTGGAGTGTGTTTGGTGTGTTGAAGTGTTTGGTGTTGGAGAGTGTGTTTGGTGTGTTGAAGTGTTTGTGTTGGAGTGTGTTTGGTGTGTTGAAGTGTTTGTGTTGGAGAGTGTTTGGTGTGTGAAGTGTTTGTGTTGGAGAGTGTGGTGGTGTGTTTGATAGTGTTTGTGTTGGAGAGTTTGTGTTTGGTGTGTTGAAGTGTTTGTGTTGGAGAGTGTGTGTTTGTGTGTTGAAGTGTTTGTGTTGGTAGTGTGTTTGGTGTGTTGAAGTGTTTGTGTTGGAGAGTGTTTGGTGTGTGAAGTGTTTGTGTTGGAGAGTGTTTGGTGTGTTGAAGTGTATGTGTTGGAGAGTCGTTTGGTGTGTTGAAGTGTTGTGTTGGAGAGTGTTTGGTGTGTTGAAGTGTTGTGTTGGAGAATGTGTTTGGTGTGTTGAAGTGTTTGTGTTGGAGAGTGTTTGGTGTGTAGAAGTGTTGTGTTGGAGAAGTGTTTGGTGTTTTGAAGTGTTTGTGTTGGAGAGTGTTTGGTGTGTAGAAGTGTTTGTGTTGGAGAGTGTTTGGTGTGTAGAAGTGTTTGTGTTGGAGAGTGTTTGGTGTGTAGAAGTGTTTGTGTTGGTGAGTTGTTTGGTGTGTAGAAGTGTTTGTTTTGGAGAGTGTTTGGTGTGTTGAAGTGTTTGTGTTGGTGAGAGGTGTGTTTGGTGTGTGTTGAAGTTGTTTGTGTTGGAGGTGTTTGTGTGTTGAAGTGTTTGTGTTGGAGAGTGTGTTTGTGTGTGAAAGTGTTTGTGTTGGAGAGTGTTTGGTGTGTAGATGTTGTTTGTGTTGGAGAGTGTGGTTATTGGTGTGTAGAAGTGTTTGTGTTTTGTAGAGTGTTTGGTGTGTAGAAGTGTTTTGTGTTGGAGAGTGTTTGGTGTGTAGAAGTGTTTTGTTGGAGAGTGTTTGGTGTGTAGAAGTGTTTGTGTTGGAGAGTGTTTGTGGTGTTGAAGTGTTTGTGTTGGAGAGTGTTTGGTGTGTAGAAGTGTATGTGTTGGAGAGTGTGTTTGGTGTGTTAAGTGTTTGTGTTGGAGAGTGTGTTTGGTGTGTTGCAGTGTTGGTGTTGGGAAGCGGTAGATGTCTGTTCTTTACATCAAATATTTAATTATATTACATGCAGTGTGCGTTACCAAAAAAAAAAATTCAGTTCTCTCCTGTTGCATCCCTTTACACCCTCCTCTTATAGGCGATGTGTATGCCTTGTTACACATCCGCCCGTTGTAGGCGGGTGTATCCCTCCACACCCATCCAATGTAGGTGGGTGTGTATCCCTTCTCCCACACACATCCATTGTAGGTGGGTGTGTATCCCTTCTCCCACACCCATCCATTGTAGGTGGGTGTGTATCCCTTCTCCCACACCCATCCATTGTAGGTGGGTGTGTATCCCTTCTCCCACACCCATCCATTGTAGGTGGATGTGTATCCCTTCTCCCACACCCATCCATTGTAGGTGGATGTGTATCCCTTCTCCCACACCCATCCATTGTAGGTGGGTGTTTATCCCTTCTCCCACACCCATTCATTGTAGGTGGATGTGTATCCCTTCCCCCACACCCATCAACTATAGGTTTGTGTATATCTCTAATCCCACATCCATCCACTGAAGGGGGGTATCTCGTCTCCCCCCCACCCATTATAGGTGGGAGCGTATCCCTTGTCCCATACCCACCCATTATAGGTGGGAGCGTATCCCTTGTCCCATACCCACCCATTATAGGTGGGTGCGTATTCCTTCTGCTTTTCATTATTTTGCTATAAGAACATAAGAAAGAAGGAACACTGCAGCAGGCCTACTGGCCCATGCGAGGCAGGTCCAAGTCTCCTACCGGCTTAAGCCAATGCACCCAACCTAGTCAGGTCAGGTCACATTCACTTACGGAAGGAACACGGCAACTGACCCAGTAGCACAAGCTAATCAGATCCACAAAACTGTTAAGATGGCTAGGAAATGATTACCTGACTTTAATTAAGCTGTCGCTTTGTGATGATAGCATTACCTATGGTCTAACATCCAAATCCCTAGGATCTTATCTATCACTTTACAAGAATGCTGATTATACTTAAGGTCTAGTTATCTTCGTGTATGTATTGTGGACATAAGAAAGGAGGATTTATTATAATTATAATCAAGGGGAAGCGCTAAACCCGGAGGATTATACAGCGCCTGGGGGGGGGGATGTGGAAGGCATTCAGGCTTAATTCGGGGAACTGGAGCACAGATCCAATTCCCTAAATCAAGAGCCCCTCACAAACATCAAGGAACCTTCCTTGAGGGGAAGAAAGGAGGAACACTGCAGCAGGCCTGTTGGCCCATACTAGGCAGGTCCTTTACAATCCACCCCACTAACAAAACATTTGCCCAACCCAATTTTCAATGCAACCTGCATGAGTTTCAGACCCTCGGTCATTTATATGAGTAAGACCCGTGTCAGAAAACACTTGTCCTGTCTCTGATGAATAATATAATAACAGTCGGTTTAGATCGGATCGGAAAGCTAGTGGAAGGCTTCGGTCAGATGACCAGAAGTGGTGGGTCATCGTATGGAAGACTTCGGTCAGATGACCAGAAGTGGTGGGTCATCATATGGAAAACTTCGGTCAGATAACCAGAAGTGGTGGGTCATCATATGGAAAACTTCGGTCACATGACCAAAAGTGGTGGGTCATCATATGGAAAACTTCGGTCAGATGACCAGAAGTGGCGGGTCATCGTATGGAAGACTTCGGTCAGATAACCAGAAGTGGTGGGTCATCATATGGAAAACTTCGGTCACATGACCAAAAGTGGTGGGTCATCATATGGAAAACTTCGGTCACATGACCAAAAGTGGTGGGTCATCATATGGAAAACTTCGGTCAGATGACCAGAAGTGGCGGGTCATCATATGGAAAACTTCGG